AGATCTCAGGAACGGCTGGGCCGATTGCGTTCAAATTTGGCACACGGCTATCGACCGGTTAGAAGGGTGCTTTGCGCAAGTCCGTTGGAAGTACCCTCTCGCCCTTCCGCACGTGCAGGGCTCACTATCTCGCTCGCTCGTTCTTCGCCCAAAAGGCGTTTTACTGGTATTGTAAGTCCATAGAGGTCTATCTTGGTCTGATGAGTTTGGATCATGCGTATTGCGTATGGTGGACGCAATCGCTTCTGCAGTGGGGATGTTTCCATACAAGCCTGTCCCGTAGCTCAGTTGGTAGAGCATTGGACTCCTGGTAGTGAGAGCCCGGGTTCACTTCGAGACGCTCCGGCGCTCGATATTTGAGACTCCTGACGGGGATGGTCTGCGGTTGGTGGGAGCGGCCGCAGCCAGTTGAAGTCAGTTGAGTGGGGCAGGCCGTGTCCGGCTTTGAAGGGCACGTTAAACTTTGGCATCTAAATTCTCCCGATACCCGGAATTGCGCGATCGGACGGTAGGGGTCGGGGTCTACGCAACAAGCTCTGCTTAGCGTGGGCTCCGGCTCTGTCAATCCGTCCATTCAAACATTCGAGCTAAATTTATAAAAAAACAAATTATTCACATCAACCGTGAATGCAATGGAGCCTGGTGGAAATCCGGTGGGGAACTGCCTTTTCAAACCATCTAGAAACTCGTACGTGTTGCTGAGGTGGGCAGGGACAAAGATCAGAAGCTGGGTGATAATACGCTCTAGAAACCAGGAGAGTTTTTCGAGGGGGTCTCCGCATGCTGATACGATAGGTCTCATGGGTGTATCGGCTTATGAGTCGTGGGTAGCCCATAGAGCTCAGCCGTGCGGGATTCGTTGGGTTTTATCGCGTGAATGAATTTGTCTGGGAGTTTTCTCTTGAGCGTACTTTGGATGACCTCACATGTTGCTTTATTCAGCTGTTTGATGGGATTTTTTGACACCGGCTCATAGTCTTTCACAATAGTTTCTGTTTTGTGTATGTACTCAGACTTTGTCATAAGTACTAAACCTTTGCACTTATCAGATCTTTTGATAATAAGGCCGTCATCTCCTTTGAGTTCTGCCAATGATGTGAAGTCAGTTTTAGAATGGTTTCCTCCATTGGATTGGTTATGCTTGCTTTACAGTCCCATGATCTTACTTTTCAACCTTTTCAGGGCGTGCTCTGTGATTGGTCCAGCTTGTGGGGCCTGTGTAGTGTCTGTGTCACTGAACCGTGGCCTAAGGGCTTCCTTAACATGAGACTTTTGCTCGCTGGTACTTTGGGTCCTATTGGTTTGTATTCTATCTTTGTTTTTTGCCTCTATTTCCTCTTTCCAACGAATTGAGAACGCTGTCCTTTCAAGGCCTACTTCTACCTCTTTTATACCGCTCGGGTTGCTCCTGTGTGACAGGACAGGGCAAAATTGGGTCCTTTCTCCAGAAGCGTTTCTAAGCTACGATATCGGTAAAACGTATATCGGTAAAACGCGAAGAATGATTCGCACCAGATTCATGGAACATCTTGGGGACGCTCGAAACAGTAAGCGAGGCACAGACTTGGGGAATCCAGGGAGACACCGGTTGGTCACGTGACTCGGAAACAAAAATCAGCTGATAGAGTGGCGGAATCGCTGTAATCAAACACGAATGATTCCGGACGATAGAGCGGCAGTATAGGAGTTTTCTTCACAACAGGCAAACATTGCAATGTTTTATCATTTTATGATCAAGAAACGTTCATAAACCATATATTTCTTCGATGATTACTGCCGCAACCGACGCGCACATATCGTAGCCAGCGCATAAAGCTGTGCTTTGCGATATTAAATGTAAAGAAAAACATTCTATATCTTGCTTCAACCTTCTACTTACGCTTTTATAATTACGTTTTCTTCACAACAGGCAAACATTGCAATGTTTTATCATTTTATGATCAAGAAACGTTCATAAACCATATATTTCTTCGATGATTACTGCCGCAACCGACGCGCACATATCGTAGCCAGCGCATAAAGCTGTGCTTTGCGATATTAAATGTAAAGAAAAACATTCTATATCTTGCTTCAACCTTCTACTTACGCTTTTATAATTACGACAGCGACACCATACGGCCTATCGACGCTATGCAACTCCATGGAGTGTCCGGCCGCACTCTTCCGAGTGTGCCGAGATCAGAGGCGGACCATCCGCGGCGGGGAGCATTCCGGTCTAGGGGTAAGATACTTGCCTCTAGATTCGGCCATCCGGGTTCGATTCCCGGGCGATGCACGTGGCATTGCCGCTACCTGACCGCTTGGAACAGCGTGAGAGTTCCGGTTAGCACCTTGGTCCACTGGATGTGGTGCTTAACCCAAAACCAACCAACCATCCGCGGCACGTCCAGCTGCACTGCCCGGTCGCTGGGAGGGCGACACCTAGCGCCGCTCTGGACGCTCGCTTCCGCGCACAACTAAGCTACCTGGCTACGCCTGTGGGAGGGGAGGAGGAAAACCAACAATAGTCTGATGAGCCAATGGAGTCTGCGAGCCGCGCCAATCAGCGCCCTTCCGCGCGCAGACGGGAGCTAGAGCTATTCATCTCCTTTCCTGTTTTCGCTGGTCCGCCAGTCACCAGCACCGTTCCGTACTCTCGATCGTAGCCATTCAGCCGTGTTGCCCTATACAACAACAGTCAGCAGCCTCGGATCGCGCCAGTCGGCCGCCAGAGAATCTATATTATCTATTTGCCGTACAGCATTGCAAGCGTTGCAGTGTTTGCAGCCGGGTGTAATTAGTAGTTGACACATTTTATGTTTTGTATCACAAAATTTAAAAATTCATTGAAATATATTCACTTTAATTTGCATACAGCTTTTGATTCTTGACGCGGATTGTTAGCCCTTACTACATCAAACAGCCAACGTCCATATTTCTGTTTCCAGAGCTGCAGTGCTGGACACCGAAAGTACATTATGTTCTAATAATTCAATCCAAAGGTACATAGATTTCACGACAAACTTCTAGGTTCCAGAGCAAGTATTTTCTCGCCAGAAGCGCGCGATTGATTGCAGCTGGCGCGCTCGCGATAACTAATATCGCGCTCGCCAAAACCTGCCGGTTACAGCCACTCACACCTTACTTCCAACCTCCGTCCCATTTATCATTTATTAGCATATCGAGACAGAATGAGACTACGACATAATCGTCAAATTACATAACACAAATTGCGGGACGTCATCGGAGAGCCCGTTAACCCGCGCCCTGCTGGGGGGGGGGGTGTTTGAACACCCCCCCCTTGTGGTTTTTCGCGAATATCTCAAAAACGGCGGCGCGGAGCGCCGCCGTTTTTGGTACACCTTATCATACATCAATTCTACACATGTTGTGAAAATTTCAGACCAAGGTCATTCAAGGTCAGGTCACCAGGTCACTTGAAGTGACCTCACCTCATAAAAACTTTCAATGTCTGTCATAGCTACACCGAGTGACCGATCGCTTTGAAACTTTCAGCGATTGCTAAGAGCAATAGCATGTACAAAATGTATATCTCAGAATTTTGATATCGATGACCTAAGGTCAGGTCAATTTTGCGACCTCCCCATTATAAGTCAATGGGAGAAAATTGAAATGCGCCTCTTTTGGATGAAAGACATTATAAACACTCCCAAACACCGAATTACAAGTGGTTAAGACGCACTGAACTTGAAAATGGTGTCCGTGACCCTTGTTTATGCCCTGAGGTCATCTTAGGTCACGAATGGTATCTAACAGTTTTTCGCAAATAACTTTTGATAGAGGCATGCTAGAGCGATGAAAACGCCTTAGATGTGTTCAGCTCGACGATACGGATCGACTGATATGCAACATGACCCTTTCCGGTCAGGTCATGACCTTGACCTGAGGTCAAATTTTCAAGTTGACCTTTCAAGGTCAAGTTATAGTTCATTCGATGCGTCTTGACGAGAGGAACACGATGCCGGTAACAGTAAGCTCGTACAAGGCTTAAGTCAAAAGTTATTGCAGAAAAACTGTTTTCGAAAAAATCGGCTATTTTTGCAGTTTTTGCCCCCTGCAGGCAAAACCGTTGCCGTTAGGTCAAATCTGAGAGGATTACTCAGAAAGGGCGTTAATAGGGCTATCGAATGCGCTTTTCCGCGGCGCTGTAGCTCTATTAGTTCCCGAGTTATGCGTGGGCTTCTTGGAAATTTTCGACATTCGACCTGGAAATCGGCGAAATTTTGCCTTCAATGACCTCTGGTGACCTGACCTTTGACCTGACCAAAAAATTGACCGAAGTGATTTCGTCATTATTTTTTACGCTCTTTCGAACATCGCCTTCCGCGTATCGCTACGTGGCCCAGGAGCCGAGTTACAAGGGGGGGGGTGTTCAAACACCCCCCCCCCCCCAGCAGGGCGTGGAAATCCAGGACCCCCAGCCGGGCGCGGGTTAAAATACCAAACCCCAATCTCGGCCAACACCGTTGGGACGGGGCGGGGGGGGGGGGCGGGAAGGGCTTGAAGCTGGGGGACGTATCGGCGTATCCTTCATAGACACGGGTGTTTCGCAACGCTGGAGCGTCGAGCCGAATTCGTCTCAATCGCCGCACTAATTGTATTGTATTGTATTTACGATCATGGGCGATCCACACATGGCGTGGCGATTACTGCGTCCCAGACTAGAAACCGGTAAGCGGCGTTTCAGTTACCGTGCGGCCGAGCTCCTAAACGACCTACCTCCCGACCTCTCACAGCTGCCACCCTCTAAATTCGCACGCGCTGTCAAGTCTCTGTGGAAAAACGATAGACCTTCGTGATGGCCTGAATTAGGCACTCGTCTTGTATATAAGTACATGGTATGTTAGAAATCGTAGCATATAGAGTCTTCCTGTGTGTGCGTGTGTGTGTGTGTGTGTGTTGTTGTTCGACTGGTCTCTGTTCCTGCATGCTTATACCCGACTCAGACTCGCGTGCGAATTTAGAGGGTGGCAGCTGTGAGAGGTCGGGAGGTAGGTCGTTTAGGAGCTCGGCCGCACGGTAACACAGGCTGCAGCGCTGCGTAGCGCGCTGCAGTACGCTGCCGTGAAACAGGGCCCAGGAGTCGGATGGTCTCGGCGGCGGCGGCAGCGGTGACGGCGCTTGTCACCGTGGAGCCCTTGAACGACGCCGTCAGCTCGAGCACCGGCGACTAGTGACCTGTAACAGAGCGAGTCGCGTCACGTCACATCGTCACCTTTCAGTCGCGACGGCCGTTATATAAACAGTTACTGAGAACATCACGTACCAGCCACGGCGACCGTCACATTACAGTCGCGGTGATTGTCACACAGCAGTCACGGCGACCGTCACAGGTCACGACGGTCATCAAATACCAGCCACGGCGAGTATGACTCATAGTCACAACGTCTTCTGTCGCACACTCAGTCATAATTACAGTACATTAGCCTGTGCATAAACATCTCATCCAAGAAGTCCAAGCCCGATTATTACCCGCGTGGGGCTGCAGTTTGGTGGCGTGCGGCGACCGGCCCGACGGTTCAACGCCGGTGCTTACATCGGGTCGATCCTGACTAGTTCAACTGGCAGCTCACCGACACGGACTGGACACCTGCAGTGTTAAAGCAGCAGAGACCTACGGAGAAGTGGGAGGAATTTCGCAGGATTTTCCTATCACAACTCGACACAGTGGCCCAGGCGTCCACAACTCGACAAAGTGGTGACCAAGGCGCAGCTGCGCCCCCCCCCCCTCCCGTTCACACAATTACTGACCTGGAGATAATGTGATGGTTTCTGGACAATGTGGCTTGATACTGGCCACCACACTCTGCAACTTCCTGCCAGGTGACGTCCTTCAGCTGGATCGAACCGCTGTCTTCAGAACCGCCGACAGCAACGAGCCTGTTGAAAGATAACATGCTCAGAACTAAAAAACCACAAAGTATACAATGGAAACGACTAAGCTGGCCACAGGCACGGTACACAACGGCGGTCTTTTATGCTAAGGAAGTTCCATCGCCACAAAAGATTGCAAATGGCTATGTCATAAAAAACTCAGATATCACATATCTAGTCTGATAATGGATACCTGGCCGCACGTCATGTGGATGGCAGCATGGCTTGAGCTGTGTGCTTTGGCATTTCCATGGTGAGATTGGGCCCCATGCATGGCGCTGGTGTTTCGTCTGCATGTGCATGTCTGCATCTACTGATCTGGGGTCCAGTTTCCAAGATCTCTTGAGCGTGCTGGGCTGCTAAGTTAATAGGTATATTACACTACGCCAGGGGGTGTCGAAGTCTAGTAGGAAAATCTGGCAAATTCCCTGCGTGACGTCACGTCGGGGATGACCGACGGCACCTTGCACTGAAAGATACGGCAGAACGGCTATTTTTGAAAAATGATTAAAAATACTTTTGTGCTGTTATGACGCATAAAACGCTTATCAGCATGTTCCTCATCATGTGATAAAGGCATATCCGTGGTCGAAAATAGCTGAGCCCCTCCCAATTTCCAACCACCGACCTCATAAGCAAAGGATGTAAGCGTAATCCTTAAGGGCGACTTTCCTATACATATCCGTACATATGCGTCCTTATGGAAATCGGGTGTGGCGATTGGCGACGCGCGCGACATCTGTGTGGCGACCAAGTGGCGACTGTGGCGACACCTGGTGGCTGCTTTTCTGCTGTATGTAGGCATTGGGGTTTTGCCAGATGTGGTTCCTACTGCTACACCACTATGCTGACCCAATACTAGAAAAGTTATTTTGCTAGTAAAAGGCAAGCAAATTGAAAGTTGATTTGTAAAATTGCTTATAAATGATTACGAGATAATAATAAAGAAATTTTGATTGAATAATTATTTAAATAATCAACCGTGAAACTATATTCTGGTAGGTTTAGTAGAAATAAGTCCGTGCAACCTTGTATTTAGGGCCTTGCACTACGCATTCGCGATGGTCTACAGTGATAAAATTGTGGTAAATGGATTTTCTCCTCAGTCATCTTCTTTTATTCCAACCCTTATTTCTCACTGCCGTTTGGCTGAGGCACCTTGAGGCTTGATGCAGAACGAGAATGCCCATGTCGTGTGGCACACCTTTGATGAGCGTCTGCCCCAGCCAGCATCTGTTAGCAGTGGCCAGGTGGCTGTGCATTAGCAGACCCCTCTGTCAAGCTGACGGCTCAGAAACTAGCAGGAGGTTGAGTGTGCATCCTACGATGGGTAGCTGCTCATCTATGTGGCTCTGTGACACAGGATCAGATCAGCCTGAGAGAGAAGAAAGCCAGTCAAAGCAGTTAGTAATGGGATGTTGCCAGACTGGCAAAATAGAAAGTACTATGCCACAAGATACAAAATCAATTTAAAGTTTTGTTGGGTTGGGCTCTTTCAAGTTTTGGCCCAAAAAGACTACAGAGTTGGAGGAATGATAGGAATTAGGGGGAGCTATTGGTATGGGCAAGCACCCTGGTACAAGTCATTGGGGCTGAGCCCATCCAGTGGACAGGGCACCCAGCCCCTGACACTGCACATGGCTCCGTGTATGCTCCTAGGGGAGCTTCCCACATGGTATGAAAGTGTCTGCCCAGCCCAGAACAGGGGGTTGAGGCATAGAGAAAGATTTCTGGTATTCATATAGCAGGCATCTCACATGCTGCCACCCATTTGTGAAGTTGCTAGACTCTTCAGTTCTTGAGACATTTACATAAAATTCACTTTTAAATCTAATCAAATACCTATTTTACCTATTTTACCTCTAATCAAAAGAGAACAAAACATTATCTAACCTGACCTAACCTTACCTACTAAACTACAACTTACGGTTTATGGTAAAGCTGGCGTCACTGTCAGTTGGTAGGGTGTAGGGTATAGGTTAGCATGTTAATAGCCAATAGGTAAGGTTAGGTAAGGTAAGATTGTTTTTAAATTTCAGCTTCCTTTTATCTACACAATTACTGGCTAGCGCTGAGGGTGACTCCAGCTTTATTGACACCCCATCAAGTCCGTCACCAGGGTGGTGTTTCACCGGTGATAGCAGCACGCTGCTATTCTGCTGACGTCACACTTGTGGTTGTGTTGGAGCAATGTGAATGGGGCTTGTTGATGTCTCCATGGAAACCTAATTTGACACATGTAATAGCAGTGTGCTGCTATCACTATCACCGGTGAAACACCACCCAGGCCAAACTCGCACCACGCTACACTAAATCTGCGCTGCACCAAGCCAAATCCGCAACGCACCAAACCCACGCCAGCTGAACAACCCCATGATGACAACATCTCGTCGAAATTGCCATGCTTCGTCAACTGGCCGTTGGGGTAGAGCAGACTACATACTTGGTAGGATAATTGGTATTAGTATATATTAGGTCCGAGTGGACAATTGTGACGCTGTTGATACAAATATGTAACAGCAAAAAATTTAGGTTTTAGGTTAGGTTAGGTTGTAGGTTTGTAGGTTTTAGGTTTTAGGTTGTAGGTTTGTAGGTTAGGTTAGGTTAGGTTGTAGGTTTGTAGGTTGTAGGTTGGTAGGTTGTAGGTAAATAGGTAAGGTTAGGTCAGGTTTGATTATGTTTTTCTTTTATTTCCAGGACATATAAGTATCATTTTTGGATTCAGGATGTCAAATAATGTAAGAATATGAAAACTTTATCTTTTCACAGACACTCGGACTTAATGTATACTTTTACCGGATGATTACCACAACTACAAGACAAATCATTCAAAACATCAACTACCTTTGGCCTTAGCCTACTATGCATTTCAGACCCCATGAGACCCTACTTTTCGGCGATAATTTCTTCAATTTTTGTCCAATTAGCTTGAAATTTTGGCAAACGATGTTTCAGCTCAAGCGCCAATTTTTGTCAATATGGTCTCTTAACAAAATATCAAAATTTAGAGCACTTGTCGTTGGCTCGTAATGTTAATCAGTTTTTGCACCCGGATAGAGGCTCGCTCGCTACCGCACCGGATTGGATAGGAGCGCTGGCCAATCACGTTGCGCCGGGCCCAACTAAACTCCGCCCACTGGCCGTGACCGGGATGGGTCTATGCCGCTTCAGTCGGTGTCAGCACCGCGGAGAGGTCGGAGCGGGACCACATACTGGAGACAAGTGGAAGCTGGCAAAGTTGTTCCGGGACGAAAGCCAAAAAAAAAAAATTATCTGTTTGAGGGCATTTGGTATCCTCTTCACCTTATTTTGGTATTTAAACATCGAACCAGCTCAGAATATTCAGAATGATCAAAATCAAGGCAGGATCTATTGGAACGGAACCGGCCCTATGAAGGAAAGATGGATAGACTCTTGGACTCTGAACATTTATTTAAGCCCGAGTTGCACCTATCTCATCGTCAGGTTGGGTCAGGTCACTACCCGATTACCTATAAGATCATGTGTAAGCCTGTGCTTAACCCAAAAATATTGATATATTTGGCAGTGCCAATAAATGTTTCTGAGGAAGGCGCAGAAAGCAACAAAGTAGGATGAAGAGTCTCGGGCACGGCCGATTGCCTGGGGCATCGCTCCAGCGAAACGACCGTATTCGTGATTCGTGGAGCGGTGCGGGGCGCCGGGTGGGGCAGAAGCGTAATGTGTCGTATGGTAGAAATGGCCTTTATCGCGGTGTCATGTGTGTGCTATATTGTTAAGACGTGCACAAAAAGAAATAGCAATGTGGCAGGCGGACGTTGGGCACTACACGAGAACGATCATCAATAAACTCGTATCTTTTTTGTAAAACTTAAGTAACAGTAGGTATGTCCTCAATGGCGAGGAAACTATCTCTAGGCTTTTACTTTTCATGTTTGCATTTCAACACACAAGCTCTGGGGGCAAAGTTAGTCTGGCGACCTCATCAACCTAAGTCGATGATCAAATGGATTAGTCCTGAAGGTGTTCAATGCTTAGTTGCACCGGGATGATATAAATCGATCACGCCGGCATACATTCCTAATCAAATTTCATATATCAAACACATAAATTGCATCATGTTAATGGTGATTCTGTTTTGCAATTTTGACGTAGTCTGACGCGATAGGTACATAATCTTACGCAATCATTTGAAATCAACAGCGTCTTTTATGCGCGTTTTTCACAAGCCCCGAATCTTGTGTGGAAATATATTTTTTTGTGACTGAACAAGGTGTACGTACATTTGTGATAGATACAATTAGTCGAGGGCTTCAGCTGGTGCGTTACTTATGCGCGCTATTTAGCTCATTCGATGAAATTACGGCTGCAACGCCAACTGCACGGCAGCTACGGTCCATGCGAGCCGCCCCGGTGCGACAGCTACTGCCCCGCCCGCTCCACGCAGTCGACTGACCGGCCAAGGTCACTACCCCGTTCGCCGGGAGGGCGGAGCTTAATGGTCACGTGTTTGTGACGTCACACCTACGCACGGATAGCCTCTACTCCACTGACGGATTTACGGAGCCGATTTTAACATTACGAGGCAACGACAAGTACCCTAAAATTTGATATTTTGTTAAGAGACCATATTGGCGAAAATTGGCGCTTGAGCTGAAATGTGCATTGTGAAAATTTGAAGCAAATTGGACAAATATTGAACAAATTATCGCCAAAAATTAGGGTCTCATGGGGTCTGAAATGCATAGTAGTTACCTTTTACCAATTTTGATTTGAATCTCAACTGAACCACAGAATTCAGAAAAGGATCTAAAACACAAAATCACCCAGCCTGGTGCTCGCACAGGCAAAATCTCAGGAAAAAAATAAGTTTTAAAAACAAGGTACCAAACCAACACCTACCTTCCATTATTTACAGTCACAGTGCCTTCCATCTTTACCTTACAAAATCAAATCAAATAACAGACCCCATTATAGAGTTCAGTGTAACAGACAAAACAAACAACAACCGATGACAAAATTAAAACAAAGGTGTTCTCCATCAGCAAACGAAATGCCGTTCAACCAATCGAATGCAAAGACACGCGTCTGCTAGCGACAAAGGTATATTAGCAGCATTTATAGAACAGTGGACAAAGCACAACTGAGGGTGGTCTGCGGTTTTCAATACCGAAATTCGTAAATTTCCCAAGTTCATCTTGTTTTATGACTCATCAAAAGATAGAGAATTCTTTTATGTTGATTATTCAGTTTGAACCAGACACCGACATTGTCTTGTTTTTTAGTAATATTCCATTAATTGTCATAGTGTTACCTTCAGCAGAATGGAAGATCATTCATTCTAGACCAAAAAAATATACCTTACATCTTCGAAACTGCAATGAGATATGCTGAATTTTAAAGAAAATTGAATTCTCATTTTGATATAGATGTTTTAACCCTAGAACGCCTAGGGGGGGGGGTTGTATCAACCCCCCCCCTGAGGTTTTTTCGAAGTGCACGCTAAACGGCTTGTCGTAGCGGGCTGAAATTTTGAACGACCTCTGGGGCAACCTTTGCGCATCTTTTGCCGAAAAAAAATTGATCGGGTCATGTCAGGTCACGGAGTTATGACGTCATAAGAGGTACAGCCTCCGGCCGGATTTTTACAAACTGAGTGCCAACGCCCGAGGTTTCCTGCCGGTGGTACGGGCATCGGTTGATGGATCGTGATGAAACTTCCCATGCATGTTGGGGCAAGTATTGGCTATCATATGGTATAAGAAATTTGACCGGGTCAGGTCAGGTCACGGAGCTATGACGTCACAAGAGGAACAGCGTCCGGTACTATTTTTGAAAAGCGCCCGAACTACTATTTTGCTAATTCTTGTCACCTCAATGGGAATATGCAGCAATATTAGCTTCTATAGGGAGCAAATGGACCTCCCAAATCCAAAAATACAATCAGATTTCAAAAATTTAAATTTTGATTTTTCGAATTTCTGCCGCCGACTGTGACCTTGCCGACTTCCGGCGCTCCCAACGCGCCATTTTTAGAGCTAGGGAAACGAAATACATACCAAACGATAGAGAATTGATCAAGGAACACGATAGTGAAGGTTTCAAGTCGATATCTCCCACCGTTTTGCCGCAATCGCCGCCGAAAGTTGAAAAAAGTCTATTTTTCCGAAAATTTGACCTTTGACCGGTCAAAAGTAGGTCAAATGTTGACCTAGGACCAAAAAATATACCACCAATCGCGAGATCTCGTTGAGAGCAATCCGTTGGTTTTTTCCGCTAAGCTCTACGACCTTCCGTTTCGAAACGCCAGGGGGGGGGGTCGTAACAACCCCCCCCCCTGGTCGTTCGTGTTATGAGAAATGGCCTGGTCGTGCGAGGGTTAAGAGCATATGCCTAACAAGTTTACCAAATAGAGATGTTTTTGTTCAGGAGTAATCGGTTCCAAAAAATATAAGTTCGAGATTCGTAAATACATTTCCAAAATTTTCCAAGATCATAGCGCTTCAACATTTTGATAGGCAGTAGCGTTAACAATTTTGTAAATTTTGGTAAATGTTTTAGACACCGACATAGTCTAGTTTTGGAAAAATATTACATTTAGTGGAACAGGGTGACCAAGGACACCAATGGCGGTGGTGCATTCAACATCAACTAAATGCAGTTCCAACGCTTAAAAAGCAACAAAACTCACATAATCTGAAAGAAAATTTAATTTTGATATTTATTGACCATGATTGAAGCCCCACATCACTGAAATTACTCGACAATTCAGGGTAGAGCAGGTCCGGTATGCTGAACAGCTCAGAACCATGATAATTTCGAAATTGAATGAAAGAGTGTCGGCCTTTGATATTACTTTTTGTCCTTCAATTTCAATTTTTGATTGTGAAAAATTAATTTTGTCCATGAGCAATCTTTGCGTTTTAAGATATATAATTTTTGAAATGGCGGAGATAGCCAACAATTTATTTTCGTTAATGCTTCACAGGTTCATACATGACGTGCCCTGTGATCATAAATCAAAAATATATATACAAATCATAAAACTCATCGAAATTTGTTGCTTAGTTCTCTTTTTTAGACTTAAAAGGTCAGCTGAAAATAGTGGTCAAAATACCTTAGTGTTGTAATTTCGAACCGGTTTTACCTAGTTCTCTATATACCGTGGGGGAATCATGTACTTTTTGAACACTCGACCATACACATAGTCTTTTGTGAAACTTGGTAGGTATGTAGGTAGGTAGGTAGGTACCACATAACTTGAAATTACTTGACGTAATGACATGATGTGGAAAGTGAAAATGATACCTAGGTATTGATGGAAATTTATGGACTTAGGTACGCTACAAGAAGATTGAATTGGTCAACCAATTCAAATTCAATCTACTTGTGGAGTAAGTCTATAGATTTTCATCAATAGTTACCACTTACCATTGAAGTTACTTGCTATCATGTTGATTTTATACATAAGAACCTCATTCATTTTATTTGTATGACATGTTTGAATGCAATTTTCTCAATAAGTGAAGAAAAATGTTGGTAGTGCTCAACAACACATTGGTAGTGCTCAGCTGAACATTGGTAGTGCTCGGGCACTCCCAGGCCTATACAAAACGACGCCCCTGCACATAGGCAATGGTGACTTTAGTATAGGCATCCTAGGCATCCTCCACACCTGCAAAGATGAGGCATATCTAAGGATCACAGAGTCTATCGAAATCAGGAACCGAAATCCAGCTCTTCATAACAAAAGTACTTTGCCTTGGCATGTGCTAAACCCTGTACCATACTTATCCTATACACGTACACACTAACTGTCTGGTCTACACCACATTATTGAATAATTGTTTAGTTGTATCATTATATAATTGTATGATTGTATAATTCCACGCAATTGTATAATTGTGCTGAATTTTTATTTTTAAAATCGCTGCACATTAATCAACATCTTTCCTGATGTAAAGCTCTGAGATATTTTGTCACGCCTGTTATTATATATTAACCCGCGCCCGGCTGGGGGTCCTGGATTTCCACGCCCTGCTGGGGGGGGGGGGTGTCTGAACACCCCCCCCCCTTCTAACTCGGCTCCTGGGCCACGTAGCGATACGCGGAAGGCGGTGTTCGAAAGAGCGTCAAAAATAATGACGAAATCACTTCGGTCAATTTTTTGGTCAGGTCAAACGTCAGGTCACCAGAGGTCATTGAAGGCAATATTTCGCCGATTTCCAGGTCTAATGTCGAAAATTTCCAAGAAGCCAACGCATAACTCGGGAACGAATAGAGCTACAGCGCCGCTAAAAAGCGCATTCGATAGCCCTATTAACGCCTTTTCTGAGTAATTCTCTCAGATTTGACCTAACGTCAACGGTTTTGCCTGCAGGGGCAAAAACTGCAAAAATAGTCGTTTTTTTAAACAGTTTTTTTTCTGCAATAACTTTTGACCCAAGCCTTGAACGAGCTTACTTTTAGCGGCATCGTGTTCCTCTCGTCAAGACGCATCGAATGAACTATACCTTGAAAGGTCAACTTGAAAATTTGACCTCAGGTCAAGGTCATGACCTGACCGGAAAGGGTCATGTTGCATGTCAGTCGATCCGTATCGTCGAGCTGAACACATCTAAGGCATTTTCATCGCTCTAGCATGCCTCTATCAAAAGTTATTTGCGAAAAACCGTTAGATACCATTCGTGACCTAAGATGACCTCAGGGCATAAACAAGGGTCACGGACACCATTTGCATGTTCAGTGTGTCTAAACCACTTGTAATTCGGTGTTTGGGAGTGTTTATAATGTCTTTCGTCCAAAAGAGGCGCATTTCAATTTTCTCCCATAGACTTATAATGGGGAGGTCGCAAAATTGACCTGACCTTAGGTCATCGGTATCAAAATTCAGAGATATACATTTTGTACATACTATTGCTCTTAGCAATCGCTGAAAGTTTCAAAGCGATCGGTCACTCGGTGTAGCTATGACAGACATTGAAGCTTTTTATAAGGTGAGGTCACTTCAAGTGACCTGGTGACCTGACCTTGAATGACCTTGGTCTGAAATTTTCACAACATGTGTAGAATTGATGTATGCTAGCGCCGCCTTTTTTGAGATATTCGCGAAAAACCACAAGGGGGGTGTTCAAACACCCCCCAGCAGGGCGCGGGTTAAAGGGAGTGTGCCACCTTCCAATGATTTCCCATTTTATTTTTCCTAGGATAAGAAGCTTCTGTTTTTACCTAATATCGCAAAAAAGTCAAAAATGGGCCTGGAATAGTGTTTTTTTCGCCTAAAATTTTATCGGTTTTTCGATATGTATAACAACTATAGTGGGCTGACCTGCAAACAGGCGTCGGCAACAATCGCGAATGCGGCGCACATGTGACAATAAGCAAAGATCATTATAGAGTTACGACGTACGGGAATGAGTTATCAGCTGTCTAATCGTAGACAACACAATGTCGAACTTTAACTGTAAGCCTGTATTGGTATTGTTTATATAAATGCAATGAAAACCCTAAGCCTCATGCTAATAATTGTATTCAAAATAGGGCCAAGAAAATGAGACAACTGTTTCGTGCATAGCACATCGTCAGGTCAGGTCAGTTGCTATGCACGAAACAGTTGTCTCATTTTCTTGGCCCTATTTTGAATACAATTATTAGCATGAGGCTTAGGGTTTTCATTGCATTTATATATATAATCATGAGCCTTAAAACCGCGCTTTTTTTCAGCATTGGTATTGTTTCTTTAATTTGGCTGTCGAACCTTAATTTATGGTTTCAAATATGATTTTATGTAAAATAATTGCTATGAAACAGCCGTCTGTTAAGTTATAACCCAATCTCACCACACGAAAGTGGCAGAAATGACAATGATCAGCTGACGCATTTTTCTTGGCCGAAGTCAGAGCGCGCGGCCCGACGCACCACCACAACTCCACAAAGTATGAGCAGAGGCCACCTAACAGGCGTGTTCTAAACCGCAGGAGATGATGATGAACGGGT